CGTCGAGCCTGGCATCTACTTCTCCCCTCACCTTCTGGCCCCCGTACGCGACTCGAGGCACATCGACCAGGAGGTTCTGAAGCGCTACGAGAGCGTCGGCGGAGTTCGCATCGAGGACGTTGTCGTGATTACCAAGGAAGGATATAAGAATCTGACTACTGTCCGCAGCGATGTTGAATGGGTTGAGGGTGTGTGCTCTGGAAAGCTCTGAGATCTGACAGGTCAAGGGAGATATTAGCAAGGAACGAGAAGCTTTGAACAATGTATGTATGGTGCTTGAGTTGTGTATTATAGCGTACTCCAACCGGAGGTCTTGTATCGTTATGATCGCTATGAATGTATCTACTTTGGTAAGATGCAAAAGTTGGGGGATTGCGATGATGATTACTACTGTACAATAGTTGATAATTACATGCCGAGTGATAGTAAGCGGGGGAATGCAGAGAGGAGTGCAGAGGGGGGGGTGTAAAGGGGGGATGTGAAGGAGAGGGGATATAGAGGGGGCGAGGAATGCAAAGAGAGGAAATTGCAAAGAGTGGGGTCAAAAATGAAGGACACAATAGGGTTGTTCAAACCTGTCCTTTTTTGCTCCTTTTTTGCTCCTTTTTTCGTACTCTCCCTTGGTGAATGGCAAAAAAGGACGGAAAAAAGGAAGAAAAAATCGCAACTTTGAACACCCTAGGTCCGGGAAACGCAAAAAGGAAGCAAAAAAGGATCCTTTTCTGCAAACCTTTGACCTCCCCGGTTATGCACGGCATCATCGGCACATCAGTCTGAGTTCGAAGTCTCCAGCCACGGCTACGGTTGCCTGTGAGTCCGCGGATGAAATTTCCCGCGCGTCGCCTTGCTGGCAACGTCGCCACAACATTGAGGACCTTGCAGCACCTCCGATTTGGAGCTTAGTGTAATTTTGAGGACATATTCTTGAAGTACTCGCTCATGCGAGTCAAATGGTATCGAGAAAATGTGAGAAAATGTCAAAAGCATGCCAGGAAAAATACCATAGCTTCGCCACTGGTGCACAATGGCTAAGCGCTCGTACAAGAACAGACTTCGGAGGGCCTGTGAGGCAAGTGTACTCCCCTCTACGGAACAAAATAAGTTTGTTTCGCACATCATAGAATTCAGTACCTATGCATGTTTCTCGTATATTTGCAGAATTTTTCGGATATCTGGCTGCTCAACAGAGGACAACTTTTCTCAACGGCATCCGTGTTACGTAGGCGCCCAGTGCCAACAACGTACCAACTTTCACTTACCTATCCTTGACTTCATTTCTCATCTTATTTGAAGCAAGTCATTCCAACAGCATGTGCGGGTACCGTAAGATATGTCCCCAATTTTTGCTTTGACATTCAGGAGGTGGTGCAAGGTCGTCGACAACTTCGCTGCTGTTCTTGTACGAGCGCTTAGCCATTGTGCACCGGTGGCAAAGCCCACGGTATTTTTCCTGGCATATTGTTTGACATTTTCTTACATTTTCTCGATACCATTCGACTCGCAGGAGCGAGTACTTCAAGAATATGTCCTCAAAATTACACTACGTTACAATTTGGAGGTGCTGCAAGGTCCTCAACGATGTGGCGACGTTGCCAGCAAGGCGGCGCGCGGGAAATTTCATCCGCGGACTCACAGGCAACCGTACACGGCCCGATCAGTTTCCCGCTACAGTCGACCCAACCTGTCCATAATGCGCATCTAAATACTCATACTTCAGATTCAAGCTGGCAAGTTTCTCATCGGGAGGACACCTTACATCTGTAGTTTTCCCTACAGTTGCTGGACATGCCTCGTTGGTCCTCTAGACGACTTGATCTGCCACATCATATGTATGGATCGGTGAAATTCATTCATACACCAACTGCACTTTCTCTAGATGACAACTTGAACCCGTTGCTACCCATATGGCCAACCATTCAGTAGAATCTGAGACTACAGCCTGTTCTTGTATGTCCTGAAATCAGAAGATACGCAAATTGAACGTGAACGCGCTTGCCGCAGCTCGCCGCAACATGCGGAGCTCAGAATCGGCACAAAGTTGCCGAATTTAAAGGAGCAAAAAAGGAACAAAAAAGGAGACGAAACGAAAAAAGGAGCACGCGTTTTCCTTTTTTCGATCTCCTTTTTCTCTCCTTTTTCCGCTCCTTTTCTGCTCCTTTTTCTTGTTCCTCGGGGACAGAAAAAGGTGAACTTTGAACGACCCTAATGACTATTACAGGTTATGACAACGAAATAATTTACCATGTGAGGTCGGGAGGTCATGAATTAGAACAGACAATCCACATCATTATTGTCGATGTCTACGAGAGAGACACGCAATGGGAGCTCTGCTCTGGAACTATTACCGCCGACAACAGTGGGGTATTGGATCTCTGTTGGGTGCCATTTGATTTCTTTCTCGGGGAGCTCAAACTTGAATGTCGAGACAAGCGTTGCGAGAACGACCTCTGTTTGGGCGGTATTAGAAAGCGTAGTTGATTAGCGAAAGATACACGTACTCATCTCTAGTTGAGCGAACTTGAAACCACTACAGAGATCGGATGAGCTATTTCAATACCCTCAAAGAGAATACTGTACGCACATGCAGGCCCTAGTTCCTCCATTGAATGTCAATCTGCATTTCTGCAGGTAAGTACATAACCAGTGGAATGTCATTGAAGTCTTACAAGTGAGAGTAAACGCCAGGAATCCTCGCTTCAGTAACCGTCTCTGGCAAGGGAGACAACCATCGTTCCGGCTTGAACTCTTCAGCATCTTCACCCCAGATCGCCGGGCTCAGATTGAGATGCCATATACCGACAGAGATAGGAGTATTTTTGCGAATGGGAATTGTGGTGTAAATGGTACCGTCCACGCCAGTGACCGGAAAAGACAAGGGAAGCGATGCATCTTGCTTGGCTCTGAAGTTTGGATGCCATTAGACATACCAGAGGTCGGCTATGCCAATAATCACACTTACTGCCTGACCATTGCAACGACGGGTGGATATCTGGACGACAACGAGCATAAGAAGACATGTAGGGAATCCATGGAGAAAGTACAAACCTCCGTAGGATTTCTCGACAAACCGCGTCGAGATACGGGAGAGCAACGAGCTCATCATAGGAAATGTCGCCGTTACCTGCACGCGATTCCAGCAATTCGTTGCGAAGCTTCTGTTGCACATCCGGACGTTCAGCGAGAACATATAAAGCACGCGCCAATGCACTACTGGTCGTCTCCATCGCAGCGAATATCAGGGTACTATGTAGTGGACTGGTCAGAAGAAGACTTCGCGACAAAGGGAAGTGACAGACGTCATGTTTCCGATAAGCTCGTCATCGGGCATCTGGTCTTCTGCATCTGCAACCAAGTTTGCACGGACTATAAATCCGGTTAGAGGACTTTACTATCGGTTGACGCCAGGAAGACATACAGAGAACACTGAAGATGTCTTTGCCCTCCTCAACCTGTTCAGTGACGGATTGATCGCCGGCCTTGAACGCTGCTCGCTTAGTCTCTAGGATACCCTTGGTGGTATCCCATAACGAGATAGCAATCTTGGCGGCATTCCGAACCCGTACGAATGGGAGGTGATTTACGACAAACCGACGGAATCCTGGGGTCCCAATTTGAGCGAGATATGGCAGCAAAGGGCCAAGGAAGATGAAAGGGAGTGCGGTGTTACTGTAAAAATCGCTATCAATTGCGTCGCAGAGATTGAAGAAGTTCTCATCACTCACATAAACACTTTGAGCTGTTCAACGAAGGGGTTCAGTTCGTCCTTCTCAAGATCATCGAATGAGTGTCCCAGACCGCCTTGGCCGACAAGTTCAAGAGCGGTACGCTGCAGCCAGTTGAGCATATCAATTTCCTGTGGACCTTTTGACACGTCGGCAGCGATCGCAGATCGTAGCTTCGAAGGTAGACATTGATAATGTATCTAACAGGGCTCGCTCTTATGTAACTTACCTTATGAGTGATATTGAAGAACGTTGGCAACATGTACCGCATATGATTGATATTGAAGACTGGACGAGCATGTCAGTGGTGAATGGTGAAGTAAATTACGAATACCTGGATTGAGTATCTTTCGTTGACGGCGATGCTGTTCCCCTGAACTATTCATTAGGGTCGAACTCTCGAAACTCGAAATTCCAATTTAGAACAAACCTCGGGTACTGAGCAGCCCTTTCCCTAGTAATAGATCTGTAAACCTAGCACCAACTGTTGGAACTTCTTCGACAAGCGCATGAAACGAAGGAAAATACCAATAAGAATGTTCCAATTTGTCGTAAATAGACTGATCCTTGACCAGGATGCTATGCACGGCAGCTGGGTCCGAAACGTAGAGAATGTGAGCCTAGACGGAGAAACCCCGTAAGCTCGGGTTTGCGCCACCTCGCTAACAATGTAAATCAACCTACCCCGCCCCATGCGTAGAGCTTGTTAACGAGACCATAGTTCTTCGCCATTTCGAGATACATTTTTGTCTCATCCTCGCCAGAGAAAGCATTAGGAACGTTGCCTAGGCAGAGATGACTGGCTGCAACAATAGAATTTTGTCTCCTTTGGCTCACCAAGAAGAGCAGATTTCCGAGGAGGGCCTGGAAGATTGTCCAACGGATTGCGTGCGAATGCGAGCTTGTAAACGACTCGTATCACCCATGCTGCTACACCTGTCAGAGCAATGGACGAAAAGGAGAGGGAGGGCATGACAGCAGGTCAGCTCAACGAGAACGATAGAGCCGGTGCGTCGTCGTCAGAAGTGGGGTTGAAACTTGGGTAAATAATAGTAGAACCGCAGCTAGAAATTGAAAGGCGCATTCGATTCGCACATTTATATTGTTTCGACGTGACACGTCCATTCGGCGTATTACATTGCGTAGTGCGCCGGCATACATCCAATAGAGTCCATATGACTCGTTGAGACGGTTGAGTGTTGCTTGTTCCGATTTGATGGTGTGCCTTGCCCTTGGCACCGAAATCACCCGATTTCAACTTGCCGCCAGCAAAAACGAGGGCCCAACTGGGATTCGAACCCAGGATCCCTTGCAATTGACAACCGAGCTTCGAACCCCGGTTTTCCCAAAGCAAGTATCTTACCTCTAGACCATTGGGCCTTGATTTGATGGTGTCCGTGATATTCTGAGGAGCGCCACGTAAACAGGAAAGAGACCCCATATGTTTCATACACTCACCCTCGACGAAGCCTCGAAGGACATGTCTCTATAGACCCCATACATGCATTGTTACCTAAAGCATCCCCGCGCACGCGTTGTTGTGCCTATCTATCGGGCAGCAAGACTGGAATGCATGGCAGCAACGGCGTATAGTGAAGCGTTTAATTACTAGGACTGTCGGCGGGGTGGGTACGGGCAGGATGCGAACGAGATGCAATGAGAGAGTGAGGGGCGGGAACGAGGTTATCGTAAGACGAGGTCACTACCCGTGTGTGAAAGGGGGCATCGCGTCGTCGTCGTGCCATTGACGGTCATGCATCGTCGCGCTAAGCAAGGAGGATCCGTCGTTTTGCGGCGATCGAAGGTGAGCCAGAGTATAGCGCGACGCGGAGGGAATTGCTCGATACTAGGATACTAGCACTTGTACATGGTGACAGGTGTAAGAGGGAATTTGGGCGTGATGGGGGGGGG